ATTTGAAATCCAAAGCTGGTTCTAGGATCAAATGACACTTTTTTTTGAAATCCCAAAGGAAAACATGTAACGTTCCCGTGGTTCGCCCATGAGGCCAATGTTGAGAAAAGACAGGACACGAACTTTCTCGAGATGGAGCGACGACCCAGATTAGGGGTCTGGTAGCCCCTTTTATTGAGATAGGACAAAGGCAGGAGGAGCAATAGCATGTGGTGAAAAACAGCCTGTAAAAGGCTGTTCAGCGTGACTCTGCAAGCCCTAGTATGAACTGGGCCATGGAGGACACACACCTACACAAGGAACTATATTACAACAAAACATTGTCATGGGACGAAACACAAAATGTTCGTGCTACCATTTAACGAGAAAAAAATTAGGAGAGAAGAGAGTTTACTTACTCAGCTCTTTCAAGATGGGAATGGGGTCGTATAATTGCATATATTGAGAAAAAAAAGGGGGGGGGTCTCCAAAAGTTTGGTGACTAGACTACATCATTTGCAGTCAGACAATGATTACACCCAGCTTTTCAAGGATTGATTATTCCCAAGGGAGCAGAAGAACCAATTTCGCTGTATACATAATGCACAAAGACAATAAAGGCCATATACTATACTAAGAAGAGGAAAGATACAAGGGACAAGAGGAAAATATTCCCAATCCTATGTAAGATAAACCAGGCAATTGTTTTTCTTTGCAAAACGCATACATCATACAGTGCTTTGTCTGTAACTCAACCACTGCTTATGTGACACCGTCCAAATATTAGCAGAAGGAAACTAGATTCTTCAAGCAGGATGTTTTTTTTCCTAAGAGCACAATCCTTTAGCACAATAAAGGTAAGATGGTCACTGGCATCACAGTACTAGTTACGTAGTAAGACAAACAGTACCAGGCAGAAATTCATTCAGTATCTTTCTCAAAAAATATTGTATTTAAAACCTGGTAGAATCCCTGATTATCTTGCTTGTTTAACCTTTATTTGCTGTAGCTGTTGTTCTTCCTTAATGCTGTTTCTTAAGATGGTTCCTCCCTACTCTTCGTCTTCTGTTTTTCTAAGACACTTTTCACCTTGCACCTTTAAATATTCTTCCTCCTGGAATAACTTCTTTCAGAGTATTCAGAGTATTCTCATTTTTCCTTACCATAGTTCTGGGTGTTTTTTTTTGCAGCTAAAAATAGTTTTAACAAAGCAGCCTGATGAACATTCAGTATGAGAAGACAGTATTGTGAACCTTCTTCCAAAATATATAAATGTCAATTTTATCCATTAAATAAGATAGCTTGAAATTGCTGTAACTAGTTCACCCACAATTTTTAAGACTAGTTGTGAACACAAGGTAAACCAATCTGTTTATTTTACAAAATGTTTCCACTTACACCACCCATTGTAATTCCATCGATAAGTGCCACATAGGGTTTCTTGCAGGTGCCTGTCAAAAATGATATACTATGTTATCCTACTTAAAATGTTAGAATGCACACTTACCTAAGGAAATAGATTTTTATAATGTGAATAAAATATTCAGATGGGTAAGTTAAAAATTTCAGTCCTTTTTTTCATTGTTAAGAGCATTTTAAAATATATTTTTATGTTTAAGATACTGGTTCTTTTCCCCCCCTTCTTAATGTTGTTTGGGGAGGAAAAACCAGCTGTTCGTTTAACCAGATTACAACAGTCACCTTGTAAAACATAGCAGAGAAGTAAAAACAGGCCAGAATAGAAAAAAAGAAGAAGCTGGCTGTACCCAAATTAGCAAACAGATTGGTACTGATAGCGATAGCACACAAGAAACGGTTATTTGTTCATTGTCAAAAGAACAACATATTAAATAGTAGATAGGTCTCAATAAGGAGGGCATTCTGTAATTAGAATTTTACATTTTAAATATGGAGCCACTGTTCTTAGAATAACTTGAGTAAATATTAAGAAAAAGCAAACAAGTTAATAAGGGAATTGGTTTAAATACTCCACCTTTAATGTTTCTTTAGCTTTACTTATATAGTATGCAATGTAAACATGAAACGGGGACACCCCTAGCAGGAATTGCAAATAAATACTATTAAGCATAAATTCAAATAATATAAATTTTGCACATAAAGGGTTATAGCACTCAGTCTTTTATCTTTTGGGATGTGACATTAAAATGATCTAAAAAAATAACTGTCCTAATTTTAAAACCCTTTCATAAAGTTTCATTCTCTTCTGCTGCTGTGTTTCCTTAAATGAATAGCATTCACTCCTAAACATGGGAAAGGCCATCAAAAATACCAAGCAGAACAGACTTTATTGGCTTACACAATAAATATCTATTATCCTAAAACAGAATTTTCACTGCAGAGATGAAGTCGAAAGAAGTTATTAAGGGGATACTATTAAAAGTACACATACCAGTGGCATTATTCAACATGTATTCTTCTCTGAAGAAATCTTTTGCTAATTTGTCTCCATGTTTTCCTGCTTCATTGATAGCTAAAAAAACAAATGTCAAAATTAATGATGACATTTAATATCCTGAAATATTCCTCTTTTTTCCCCCTTTCCTTCTGGCTTCCACAATTCCTTTCACAAGAATTAGCAAATTCTGTTAACTATGGTGTGCTAGGATAGAGAGTAGAATCACCCAAAATCAAATGAGGCCTGAGGAAATGGCTTCCTATGAGGTCCTCTCAGGTTCAAAGTAAGAAGTTCGTGTCAAGAGGCCACCGTGGGATTAGCACTCAATAAGGGACCAGGGTTAGGATGACATTTCCTTGGATTCAAAATCAAGGACAAAGCCCTGAACTTTGTAAAAAAAATGTTCACATTCTCACCTTTTATATCACCCCCAGCACAGAACACTTTTTCACCTGCTCCTTTTATTAATATTAAGAAAGTTTCAGGATCCTGCTCCCACTTCTGAAAGAAATAATGGGAAAGACCATGTCAGAGCATTAGACGTTTTAAATATGCGGTCTCTCTTTTTTCAAATTATGCAACACCTAGATCAGGGTTGGATTGTCCAGAAAGAATAGAAAGCCAAAGCATTAAAACTCTTTGCAGCAAGCCTGAGGAACATTGTCTATTGTCAGCCTCATTCAAGTAGACCAGCCTAGGAATCAATTCCTCAGGAAGGTTATAAACTACTGACTATAATAACAAAATCGTACAAGAATGGTTGTGCTATACCGACTCCCTTTTTCTATCATCCAGTAAAGCAGAAAGGTAGCTATCTGTTCTGACCCAGGCTTCCTTAACAAGTAAGAAGTGGAGTCTTGGTCCTGGCAAAACCCCTTTTATTTACACAACTGTGAATTCCTTTCATTCACAGTCCACAAGGCTTAGCAAACAGTCTTTCAGAGGGTTGTTTATCAAACACGAACCTTATCTCGTTTGGAAAGCTGCCAAATAACTAGTTCCAAATGCAGGGCAAGGCAAAACTTGGCACAGTCTCTTATAGTTACAAACAGAACTTTTCTCTCTTGACATGACTGAATGTCATGTCAAGACCGAATGAACAAATTGTTTCCTGCAAAAGCCCACTTCCTGTTCACCCCTCTTTTGTTTCCTATAGGAAGGGCCAATCATCTCCAAGGTGTGGCTTTACTCTTAAGTCAAACCTGCTTTCTTACTTGTTCTTGTCTTCTGGCAGCTCTGCGCATGCGCACACTGGGAACAGGCTCCAGCTGTTCCTCTGCCTCGCTGCTGTCTAGCTCCCTCTCTGCCTCCGACGCAGAGCCCTCACCTGAGCTTTCCTCAACCCCCAGGACTGGCCCATGTTCCTCCCCAACCTCCTCACTGTCGGACTCTGCTGTCAGCTCTGCAGGCTGCCAGCAGGCCACAATACTATCTGACCCTAGCAAATTTTATCTCAATTCTCAGTCTTAAAAAAAAGTTTCAGTCCCTTTTGCCTAGGTAACTTGTTCCTGCATATTTCCATCATAAGCATCCTGACTCTATACCCAACCCTTGGATTCCCAATCACTGCATTTGCAGGATGAGAAATTGTAATTCAGCAATATATGGAACTCACAATTTTCTACCCTATTACACAGTCTTACAAAGGCCTTTTGGACTGTTGGTCAAATCTATTCATATGCCCAGATAAAAATGTATACAGTTAAGTTCAGGGAAAGGTTGTATCAAGCTGAAACCTTATAAATACTGCAGTTCTACTTATTGAAGGATGGCCAAGGAGAGGCAAGAGTAACCTTTTCTGTTGCTGCCCCCTCCCTTTGGAACACCATCCCATTTGAGATTAGATCGGGACTGACCCCATACAACTTTTGGGAAGCCCTTAAGACCTGGCTGTTCTTCTGGGCATGGGGGCCAGGAGATGAGGTGTCCCCCTGATTTAATTAGTGTTGGATGATTTATTCTTGGTTGCAATTTTTCTTTTTCTTTGATTCTCTTATTTTATGATAATTGCTTCTTATTTCTGTTATTTATTTTGTTGTTTGGAAGGGTGTTACTCACCAGTTGTATTTTGCAAGATGAGCAACCATATAAATCAAATCAAATCAAATCAAGTAACACAGGGGACTGAGATAAGTTTTTTTTTTCCTTCTTGGAATATCCATGAAAGAGGCTGGGACTATTAGCACATTAGGCCCCCATCTCTTCTCACCCTCTTTCTACTATACAAACCAGCATGCAAGAGGTACACACCAGTGGTGGGTTTCAATTTTTTTTAGAATCTCTTCTGTAGGTGTGGCCTGCTTTGTGGGAGTGACTTGCTGACCATGTGACTGGGTGGGTGTGGCTTTCTGGCCATGTGACTGGGTGGGCGTGGCCAACTTGTAAAATGTAGTGAAGCTCACTTAACAACGCTCTTGCTTAGCAACCAAAATGTTGGCACTTGAAGCACGCAAGTCTTAAAGCTGTCAAGTTACAAGACCCTTGTTCCCCTAACCGTTTAGAAAAAAAACCCAGGGGTGTTCAAACTTGACAGCTTTTAGACTTGTGGACTTCAACTCCCAGAATTCCTCCTCCAGTCATGTTGGCTCAGGAATTCTGGCATTGAAGTGTGCAAGTCTTAAAGCTGTCAAATTATAAGACCTTGCACCCCTAACCCTTTAGAAAAAAACCCTGAAAATAAGACCTCCCCTAAAATATTTAAGCCACTTATCTTAGTGACGGCAGGCCCAACGATGTTAGGACTGGCAAGAATGTGCCAGAAACAGAGACAGAACATCCAGCCCTCTCTGGATTTGTTGATCCGCAGGCCGAGGTTAAGGGGCCTCCTGCACCTCAAAAATAGTAGGACACCCCCCCCCAAAAAAAATAAGGCCAAACACTTATTTTGTGAATCAAAAGAAAATAAGACCCTGTCTTATTTTTGGAGAAACACAGTAGTCTCATATGTCTTCTGTCAATCCATTCATCAATTGCTTTACAGATAGACCTCAACTTACAACAGTTCATTTAGTGACTATTCAAAGTTACAATGGCACTGAAAAAAATGACTTATGATTCTTTTTTCACATTTATGTCATTTGTAGCACCGCCATGATTATGTGATCAAAATTCAGATGCTTGGCAACTGAGTCATACTTATGACTGTTGCTGTGTCCTAAGGTCATGTTGTGACCAACTGACAAGCAAAGTAAATGGGAAAGCCAGATTCACTTAACAACAGTGTTACTAGCTTATCAACTACAATGATTCACTTAATCACTATGGCAAGAAAGGTCGTAAAATGGGACAAAACTTACTTAACAACATCTCACTTAACAACATAAATTTTGGGCTGAACTGTGGCCGTAAGTCGAGGACTACCTGTATTTAAAATGTTTTGGTACTGTTATAACCTTGGTTTCATATAAAGCCACCAACCTTTAACTGGGGATAGATCTGTCGAATCATGGAAAGAGTAAGTGCATTCAGAGATTTCGGTCTGTTCATGGTAATAATGCCAGCACCCCCTCTTTTTTCCAACAGAACCTCAGCTGAAGGATCCTTAGTCATACTCTGTATGGAATGGCAAAGACTTTAATGAAGCTGATGCTCCAATGACAGATTGGTTAGCAATTCTACAAAATCTGTAACTCTGCAGAAGATCGTCGAAACATAATTAGTAACATACTAAAATGGCTATTTTTAAGACAAGTACTTTGGGCAAAAATCTACAGAAGTACCCAATACTGACTATAAGAACCTCCACCAATTTTGAACTGAGTATTCCAGACATAGAACTCTTTCTTACATTCCTTACAACACCTTTGATCCTTGTTCTTAATTTTCTCATTCTAACACTGTTAAATATACCCAACCTATTACAAAATTGAATTTTATCTAAGAGGTTCCACAGTTAGTAAGTTTATAAGCCAAAGTGAAATCACTAGGAACCTGTCAACTCTGTTTTATAGTACTGTTCATAATGCTTTGTGCATTTGGACTAAATTGTTACTTTTCTATTTTAAAGAAAACCATATTGTTTAACTATCTGATGTTCTTCAGATTTTACCCTTATCCCGTCTTGAAACAGAACATTACCAGATGATAGTTTTGTAAGAAACTTCCTTCATTTTCAAAAGTATTTTTCCTTTTGCCTTGAGAGATTGCTATTTAAAAAACACAGATCAACAAACCCTCATTGGGACTGAGGAATTAGTGTTATTACAGCTACTGTGTTTTAAACAAATATTTATTCACCCAACTTCCACACTTACTAAGTGTCGTAGTGTGATTTGCAACCTGTTGAATGACTTCAACCTGAAACAAAAAACTCAAGGTCAGACATATCTCTGCCACAGCAAATGTAAATACATAAAGCAAATTATGTATGTTTGTTAGACTTGTTTTTAGATATGTCTTTCATTCCTCTGCATATTTCTCTAAATGATACATCCATTTAATGTAGTTACATTTTTTCTAATATACGGTACAAAGATTTTTTTGCCTCTATTGCTCTGATACAAACAATATATAAATTCAAGAATACTGGCCAGACATATGGGACTTTACATGACTTTGGTATATTTTTCTCCTAATGCTCTTTCTCCACTGTTTTCCCCGAAACACTCTAGGATCTGGGACTCAATAGAATGACATAAAACATGTAGGAAATATACTTATACTAATGAATAAAGTCCACATGTATGTATGTATGTATACATACATACATACATACATACATATGCAAAGCCTGATTCTCTATTAGGACAGATAATTGCATATATACACATACACATACACATACACATATATATATAGTGCCACAACCCCTGGTATGCCCCAATTATGGGAGGAAGCTAACTGCTTCCATTATCTGTCAATCGGCTCGTCACAAGAGTCCANAAATAAATAAATAAATAAATAAATAAATAAATAAATAAATAAATAAATAAATAAATAAATAAATAAATAAATAAATAAATAAATACCAGTCCCAATTCCTCTGCCCCAATTGCAAGTCCTGATTCTGCTCAGTATTGAGCTAACGTTACAGATTGAATGTGGGACTTTCTCTAATGTGGCCTAGGGTTTGGTGAGTTTTGGCTGATTAGGGCCACATCATCAAATAATGAGCTAAATTGTGTCCAAAGCAAAAATGATGTCAGGAGATGAGAAAACCCTATTTTCAAACTGGAACAACTCAAGATAACCTCAAGTTGCCTCAACTGGGGCTGTGGATGAGATGAAAGCAAGATCATGAAGACCCAGCACATAATTGTCCCATGTATCTGGGTTGAGCAATTGTTTCTTTGAAGTGGGTGTACATTTCTTTTTTCAAAGATGGAGGTAACATTCCATTTATCAAGGACATTACTGTCCTGAATTAGTTCCCCAACATTTCCCTGGAGGCTTTTGTCAACCAAAAGAACAAGAATCCAGACAACTGATGGTTGTGCAGAAGATCCTGCCCGCTTCCTTAGGAGTTAGAGGATTAAACTCATCTCAGATAGCAGGATTTGCACCAAAGCACAACATATTGCTTGTTTTGTGGCTTGGGGTCAAATCTATACCAAGCTACTGAAGTCCATAAAGCCACATTTCATAATCTAGCTTGACGCATGCTAATTTATACAATAAATCTTGATGGGCAGAACAATGGCTTAGTATAATCTTCAAGCTCAGCTACAGTGTTAAATAGTGTAGTTTTGTAATTAAGCCCTTACAAAATATACAAAATTTCTACCCTCAGTTGGATAGCCTCTAACATTGGCTGAATATGCTAATAAATATGGATTTTTTAAAAATCTCCATGCAAGGAAAAACTGCATGTGCATTTTGCCTATCAAACTATTGTTAGAAGCAAAGAAACAGAATCTGTTTTGTTTTGTTTCATACTCTTAACCCCTTGAGAATATGTTCTCTGATGAAAATAAATATATGTCTAGGAATTTCTAGCATCAACAAATGATATAAATGATTTGCATGTTAAATTAATTTAAGCAGATTAATCAGTATTTTCCATTTCCTAGAGGTAATTATAAGTATTCAGGTCTAGGTAACAAATGTACATGTTTTGTAGCATTTAAATGCATGCTTATATACCAAAGTATAATACTATATGGATATAATTCTTCGTCAGAATTTTCAAAGCAATGTTCTCAGTGGCATAGAATAATATTACCACCTTAGCTAAGTGTATGCAAGAGAATAACATTAGGCATATTGCTGTAACTGCTGTTATCAATTGTATAATGCCTCTGTGTCCTACTATTAATATTCATCTCACTGGTTATAAGTCATTGTGATAGTTCTGAGATCTGCAGAGTGCCCCCCAAAAATAAGCATTTGATTATGAAAATGTGTTATGTGTCATCTATTTTGAGATTCTGAGTTTCAGTATTAACAGAACAGATTTACCCAGGTTTTCGAAGTACTACGGTATGTGAGTACGTGCATGTAATGTTTTAAATCTTACTGTATTAAGCATATGCTATCTCTTTCACGCAGAACAATTACGCTTCCAGAATTGTCAAAGAACCCTTAAAAATTTTGAGCTATGGAACAGTTTACAAACCTCTCTTAAAATTGCACTGATTTTTATCCTTTATATTCAAAAACTGTTAGTGTCCAAATTCTTTCCCATTTAGCCAATTCCACATTATAACCAAAATTTTTCACCCAGGTGGCCATAGTTTCTTTAACATGATCATATTTTTCTACACCATCCTTCTATGGTCATGTTGTCCCCAAAACTGGGTTCTTGCTTGGTGTCGAAGCCGATAAGTGACTGGGCACAAGATGTGATACAGAATTATACTTCTATTTTGGTACCAAGAGATAAGGATCCCAGTTTGAAAAGCTAACCAAGGGCCCAGATTAGAATCTTACAGCAGTTTTTATAGTCAAGGGATGGTCGCATTCAACCTTTTGCCCTTCCCCTTAATAATGCATGCATGCATAACATTATATTGATTGGTTATTTGGATTTCAACCCCCCTAAACCCTTACGCTTGTTATGTTAAATAGCTAAATGTCATGTCACCTGTTTTTCACACCAGGTCACGAGTACAAAGTGTGCCAGCTATGTGGGTTTTGGGGTTTTTCTTATAAGTGAACTATTTTTGTTCCTAATATCCTGGCTAGTGGTTTTAAGGTGCTAACTTCTGTCTGTTAATGTGCACCCCCCACCCCCCACTGCAGAGCAGAATAAAAGAACAAATAGTTTTTATCTGAGGCAGCGACTCCACGACCCCCCCCCCTCCTTCCACAGAGAAAAGTAAAAAAAGTTTAAAACTTTTGTCTGAGGCAGCAACCCTCTCCTGCCTCCCTCTGCAGTGATAGAGACAGGAAGGAGCAAACCTCTTAATTGTCCAGGCAAAGAAATGAAGACAAGGGAAAATGTTTTATCACAATCCATATTCCTCACTCTCATGTCCATTCCATCCATACCTGGGTTCTATCTCCTCTGATCTCCAAGGCCTCATCTGGGACATACATTCCACCATCTGATCTTTCAATCACCTTGATCAAGCTAACATATTTCCATTTTATAAAAGGACTAAACATGCTAGGCATGGTGTAGCAGCAAAGAAGAACTGTTTGTCAGGCTCGGTTGTAAATTTTGAAATGCAGCTTGAAAATCCCTTCTCCCTGGATCTATAATGATGGTTTTATAGCACAAGGAAAACGTCATTGGTAAATTCTCCTTGCTCTGATACATAAATGGAATGATTGTAACAATTTCTGAATGCTTTTTAGAAGTCTTTAGCTAGTAGTTTGGAAGGCAACAGTACCTAACAGTACCTAATTGCACTTCTCATTTATACATGCTATATTGTGTCATGTTGTATAAAAATCCCTTGATAAAGAAGTGTATGTTTGCAGATCTGCTTAGCATTAAATCCTGCAGGTTCATATCATTAATAGCCAACATCAAAGTAAATAGATAAAAGAAATTTGAAACTTGACATTCTCCCAGCAAGACTGCTGTCTCAACTGATATCTATCTTTAAAAAAACCCAGATTGACACAATCCCACATCAGGCTCCACTTCCTTTCCTTTAAGAAACGAGTTCTATTTTGTTTGTTTTTTAAATGTTTTTTGAAGGACATCCATTGGTTAGTTTCTCTGAGATGTAAGAGGTGAAGAAATTATTGGAAGTTACAGCACTTCAAAGATGTCATTACTGTAGTTTATCTTCTGCCCAGGAGACATACCGTATATACTCGAGTATAGGCCNATATATGTATTTAGAGTCACAACCCCTGGTATGCCCAAATAATATATGCAAATATATATATATGCAAAGCCCGATTCTCTATCTTAATTTCTAAAGAGCTTAACACTGATATTTTTTATTGTTTCTTTTGGTAGCAGAAAATTAACTGTTACTGGCCTTGGATGCAGGGCAAGCTCCAAATCACTGCTTAATCCTGCAGCTCAAATTCGGTTGATAAATCAAAATGTTTGCCCTTACAGTTCAAAGGATCATTTCTATAGTATCCAACTAAAGAAATGCACTCGAAAGTGATCGGCTGAGCTTGCTTACAACTAGGAACACCGATTCAAGCTTTTATTATCATGTGCAGTGCAGTGCCGTGCCATGCCACGCGTGAGAAGATGTTCACAGTTTGGGGGCTGATCCATCAGGATGGCAGCGAAGTATTTTTTTTTTGCTCGCTTGCAGCGCGTATCTATCTAGGAGAGAGGGAGCAGCTGCAATCTTACGCTGGGACACCCAGCTGACACCGTCACTCCGGGGTTTCGCGCGCAACGTGCGAACTGATCTTAATGCAAAACGGCGCAGAGTTCAACTATCAGAACTCGGTGGGACTTTTAAGTAAATCCCCGGGGCGAGCGGGATCGCTCAGAGCAAGCGGTGGGGCGGAGGGCTGCGCTGGGCACTTCTTCAATCCCCCCCTACTCCATCCTACTAAGGTGTCGAAACTGAAAGTAGCCTTTCCCCCTCGGTCGTCGGAATCTACCTGGGAAGACACTTCCGCATCACAGGGGTCACCAGCAGCCTCATCACGCCACCGTCCGCTCACGCCCCCACCCTCGCCCGAGCAAGGAGACGCCGGGGAGGCGCGCCCTGATGACATCATCCAAGTGCGCTGGAAGGCAGAGCACGTGTACGGAGGCCAGCCGAAGCGAAGAGAAGCGAATAGCGGGGAACGATCTCGTAGCCTGGATCGGAAATATCTGGATTTGGGTTTATTCTCCTGGCGCAGAAGCTTTAAGGATGGCGCACAAGAGGCACCCAACAATTATGCATCGCTGCCCATATGGCGATGACAATTCTGAGTTTACAGCTAAACATCCCTCCCCTGTTACAGTTATTCGTCGGTGCTTTTAGCGGTTCAAATAATAGCAATAGCAGTTAGACTTATATACCGCTTCATAGGGCTTTCAGCCCTCTCTAAGCGGTTTACAGAGTCAGCATATTGCCCCCAACA